CGTAGCCGAGGCAAGCGGCAGTGATGGGCGATCCCGTCTCCGTCTGCCACCAATGGTTCAGCACCGGCACGTTTAGAATCCTTTCGGCCCACACCTGTACAGATAACATCACTCTTTTACCTACTAGCTTTTGACAGATACACCATTCTCGTGGAATTAAAGAAAAAACAAAAGAGAGTAAGTCTATGTGTTCTTCCAAATTATCGTCTACATCTATACCAAATTTCAGCGAAATCTGTTCAACCGTTGAGGCTACAAACTCTAACAAACTATCCATCTAAATGATGGATACATAATGATTCTAACAGGCAATTTTCTGTCTTGATTTTTAACTTATACTTGAACAAACATCGGTTTATGACCCTAAAAACGTAAATCGTGCCGCTTTTATTAGCCTTTCCCATTGTCATTTTTTATGTCATATGCATATTTAAAACATGATTACAACGTTGAGCAATAAGCCTAAAAAAACAATAGAATTCTTCATCAAGTCATTGTAAAATTTAATTACAATTGTTAATCACAATGATACCGTTCTCTTGTAAATAATTCAACAGTTCGATTGACCCTTCGGCTTTCACTTTGTTTCCTGCTAAGAAAAGTTATGAATGAACAAAACATAGTCCAAATTGTCCCAAATAGATTTTTCATGAAACGCCCTCTAGCGGTCAATTATAATAATAGTAAAACGTAAGTAGAAGAAACTACACTTTAATTACGTATTTCGCAAGAATGTAATTTTTTCTTTTACAATAATTAAAATTGTTACATGTAAATTAACCTATTCAATCAGCATTGTTTTATACACGTAGACCGTTAATATGCCATTTTTCTTTATTACTCTTTATATTTATTGTAACATCAATGACAAAAAATACATTGTAAAGTAACAAGTAAAAATATCTAACATCTAAACTGATTTTGACTAAACGTTACAACGAGCTATAACCGCTTAGCTGCCTAGTGGAAAAGGAGGTTAAATCTAAACATACCCTAGTATCCTGGTCGCAATGTTCTCCAGCAATGAAGACAGTCTTCAAAGACTTGCTGCAGTACCGACGCGAGTACTTCGCGTTTGGGTCTACTCGCTTCAGCACGCGGAATGCAGTCGGGATCGTGAACAACGCGTTCACACGATGCTGTTCTATTATTCTGTGAGACAGGGTAATGGACATAGGTCAGTACAATCACTGCAAATACCAAATGCCAAGAAATCTTAACAAGTCTATTAAAGTTGGATAGCCCTAGGTGGTTGAGTAATAAAGGAGTAAACGGTTAGCACGGTATGGGCATGTTATGAGACGGGATGAATCGCATGTAACAAGAAGGACGTCAATTATGAGTTTACACCGGTAGAGGTAGACCTAGAAAGAGATGGATGCATTGCGTGAAAGGAGACATGATCAAGAAGGAAGTGATGACTGAGTTGACGATAGGGTTATTTGAAGGACGAAAACCCGGTGCGACGACCGTACAGGAGTAGAATAAGGTAAGAAGATGATGATAAGATCTACACTAGTATATTCTTCTCTAATTCTTCACCAATGGCCAGGCACAGTATGCATGCATTTGTTTTAACTTCTTTCCTTAGCTTTCATTTGATTCTGTCTTAACTAGTGTAGTCCGTTTCAGTGGAGTCAAAATAATTTGATCAAATAAAACAACACAAGTAAAACTAACCTAAAATACTGCCCCGGATCAGGAGTCCTGTCTGGTTTGCCTTCATACAGTACAGAAGTGAGACCGGCGAGTAGAGGTCCGTAACAGATGTAGGAGTGTCCTACCACCCAGCCGAGGTCAGATGCGGTCCAGCATACCCCCTTTCTAAGACCGTAGACCGCGTGCATCGTCCAGCATAGAGTAGCGGCATGTCCAATCGGCCGCTGAATACCTTTAGGATCATCGGTTGTACCTACAGCAATACGTAAGATTACTAGACGCCGGTTAGGAGGTATTTCAACCTATTTAAATAATAATAACTATTAGTATAAAAGAATTAAAGGGGTGATGATTGGTTCCTCTAAAATAAATTACGTAATCTCTGTCTACTACGACTATTATATTAAAATAAATTATTAATCACATAATTAACAAAAATTCTTCGTTACAGACTCGTTTAGCAAAATGTACAGTCGTGGAAATCCACGGTATACCACTTCAGGAAAATTGCCTTGTTGATTGCAACGAGACAAACTCCGTCTCTTTTCTCAAATAACTTAGCTAGCAGTGATTGCAAACGAAGACATGTTCAAATGAAACTAGCCTTCCGTACAGATACATTTATAAACTGCGTTGTATTTGTTTTTATACTACATATAATTACCAATCATTATTTATAATAACATCGCCAATTACCCCGCCTGTACATTAAACTGGATTTGCCACTTATAGTAAGACCCTATACATAACACCATACATGTCGCAGAGAGAGGGGGAGAGAGAGAGAGAGAGAGAGAGAGAGAGAGAGAGAGAGTAAGACCTTGTCGGTTGAGCATTAAGCTATAAACGAATATATATTACCTGAAGTATACAATATATATAAAGGCTCGTTAGCCTCTAAGGAGACGCAGGGCGCAGGCTCCGAGTCTAAAGCTGTCTCCCAGCAGACATCGCGGCCTGGCTCCAAAGAACATTCCAGAACGCGTCGCCGCTGGTATACAACGCAGGCGCGTGGCTGATGCGAGCTCTGGCAGAGCGCCTCGTCTAATATATCTTTATATCTAACAAGATAAATGTGACGTCACAATTTAGAAAAAAAAAACAAAATTTTAAAATGTTATGAAGATATATTTAAAAGATAATTACAATTATCTATATATACAATAAAATTGGAGTGTCTGTTTGTAATGTCAAAAGAAAAATGCTGGATTGAGTTGCTGATAACAACAAATCGCATTTGAAAAATTTTCATCTGTCTGTCCGCAAACCGCGTTTGTTTTCAACCGAACTTTCATTGAAAGGTAGCTGACATAGACATATAGGCTACTTTTTATCTTAATATTGCATAGACGAAGTCGCGGACAACAGATAATTAATTTATACAAATAGTGGCTATAGAAAACTGTTGCTAAGTGTTAATTGTATGCATTTTTATATTACTATGTAACTAATTTACGCGGAACTGAAATAATTAGGTTTCGATGAATAACAATCGCATTGAATCCAACAAAAGGTCATTTGATGGACGGAATATTTTTTTTTTTAATTTTGAATTTCAATAAATCATTCTTCATTACATTGTCAAATAAAATTATTAACATTTATTTAATTATATTGTAAAGTTTAAATCCTCGAACTATTTGAACTTTCATATGCATTTAAAATAACAAAATTGAATATTTTTATGTACTTAATAAAGGAAACTACGAATATAGAACGAAATAGGTACCTGTGTACCTATTCGTGCATTCTGTAGTGCTTGAATTATGATTCCGGAGTTCATTTAGAACGATAAGTTTAAAATAACACCCCCGCGGGTCGCATTTACGATACATAATCGCCTCACTCGCGTTAAAGACGCAAATTAACCTCCGTTATAACTCCGCATAAAAAATAACTGAAGCGGATGCGGAGTTACTATTTCTTGCGGAAGTTTCGCACTTGCGGATACGAAAGCGAGTTCCGTTACAACCTTAATGTAAATGTGTTTGTTAAATAATATTCTGATGCAAGTTACCTCACTATTTTGTTGGGTTCAACGCCGCAACTGGCTGCTATAATGACCGTTGGCTCCGCATGCTCTATGCGTGTTCTAAGTTCACGAGCCGCGAAACCTGACAACATTTACAAATGTAAAATAAATATAAATAACCTTTAAAATAATGAAGAGAGATGAAAAATTGTATTAGAGATATGCGAAGCTGTAATGTACTGGTAACCAGTTTATAAAGATCCTCATGTCCAATCACTCACCTCCGAAGACAACGGAGTGTATAGCCCCGATTCTAATGGTGGCCAGCATAGCGATCACTGCTTCCGGGATAAGCGGCATATAGATGAGAACGCGGCTGCCTCGCTCCACACCTAGAGATCGCAGCTTGCCTGCCAGTCTGGACACCTTCGGATATTTAAAGTAAATAAAAAACAGGACGTCAAGTTTATGCTAAGATAATAGTTAGATGGAAACTGAAGTCAGTATACAAGACTTTTTTTTAATATTAGTACATTATTTTTTGCTATTGCTCGCCACTTCGTTCGCGTGAACATCTATGTTACTCACTGATAACGTAGCTTCTTAATGGTGAAAGAATTTTTCAAATCGAACCAGTAGTTTTTAAGTTTTTTTCAATACATACAAAAATCGAAAAATACAAGTCTTTTCTCTTTATAATTTGATTATAGATTTACTAACATTGTAACCAGTCTAGCTAAGATCTAGGCTTGAACTAAGATATGGTTTACGACAATAATCGAATGGTGAGATTGGAACCTATAATTGGATATTCATATTCTTAACCACTGGGCAATAAGCTATTGGTGTTTCTATTTTAACGTCTAAGTTTTTGACTATATCCTTGTAATCCCTCACTTATGTAAGGCTCCGAGCCCCTCAGTGGGACGTATAGTAAGCTAATGATGGTGCTTCTAATTATTAAGTGGTTAGTCTTCGAATGTTTTAGACAAGACCATGACCATTCGACATTGTCTTCAATAGATTCAACGATGATGACAGGCTAGTGAGTCTTAGCTCACCTGATCTAATAGCTCAGCGTAAGTGATCCGCCGCACAGTATCAGTGAGCGGTGAGTCGTGGACGAGGGCGAGCTGCTCCCCGCGCCCTGCCAGCACGTGTCGATCTACCGCGTTGTAGCACACCGACATCTCGCCACCAACCCACCTGCAATACTATAGTACTCTCAACCTTCTTGGTCGTAAAGACAAGATTCCTCCGATACTGGATCTGCACTATAACGATACTATGAAAAGCCATATTCATGTTTTTATGTTGATATCAAGATTTTTCCTTTAATTTTTTCTATGTTCATACGTCATTGCAGTCGTCATCCACCAAATTATCTATTATTTTTAAACTTCGGTATCTATGGAAACATAATTTTTATTACCCTGACAAACCAATATCATCTCTCTCATTATCCTACTCCCGTCAGGTCGGCGCAAAAGTTTTTGTCCTCCACATAACTCTAACATACGTCATCTCAGTCACATGCCACAGTCCACCCATCTTTTTCTAGGTCTATCTCTACCGGTGTCATCCACACTCATAACTAACGTTTCCCTTGTTACATACGATTCATCCCTTCCTGATTACTCTGATAAATAGGGTAGTTTTTCGCGCGTAAGTTTGAATAGTATACTTGCCATTTGGTGAAAGGTGGGTTTGTGTTGTCTAGCACGCGGTCCCATGGCTTTGTCCAGACCAGCTCGTGTCCCACATCAGCCCAGAAACCCTCAGGGTCCTCCAGAGACCTCCGGTGTGCGAGTGCGTACTCCTTTGTAACTCCACTGTCGCCTGCACAAATAGAATCACAACGTTTAGTGGTAAAAGCAGTCACAGTTCAATATCGTTTAATTTAAATTGTCTTACATTATAATAAAACTAAATTACTAATAGTAGTATTAAAAATGTTTTATATTTTAGTATATTATTTATAATTTGATGATTTTTCCTTTCCGTAGTCATAAGATTGTAGAATATTCTACAAAAATATATTAATAAATGTCTATTTTAATTTCAGACGTCATAAAATAAACATTTACTTTGATTTAATTTGAATGAGTTATCCCACGAAAATGTATTTAGTCTTTGACATATTTTTATAACAATTCAAATGCAAATCTGAAATAGAGATAAAATCGTAAATGTTCCTGGCAGTTTTTTCGGCTAAAATTGAATACATTAGTGAGATTGTGATCGCTACCCCAAACACAATAGCAACTGAAGTTGCTTACAGAGTTAAAGAGGCTTAGTTATCCTTGAAGACAATTTCCACGTATTCACGATGTTATCACAGTTTTCAAGACGTAACGACGGGCGTCAGTGGCTCAGGGGTTTTGAGCACTTGACTTATAATCTACAGGTCTTGGGTTCGAATCCCGCCATGTACCAATTTTCGAATTTCATATGTAATTACTTAATTTACTCGACATTTTTACGGAGAATGAAAACATCGTGATGCCTGCACATATTCATATATATGCCAAGAAATTAAAAGAAACATATGTGTGAAGTGAAAGTGACCAACCAGCATTGGTCTAGCGTGGTTGACTATGGCCTAGTCACTCTTTACATAGAACAGTCACTCTTAGCCCCGTAGTGGGGACGTATAGTCAAACTGATAACGAGGGTGAACGACATATAAAGAAAAAAAAACACATAACTACAGTACTTTATATAGTAAAATGTGACAAATAACAACCTTAGATTTGCCAAAAATAGACAACAACGGGCGTGAATTTGTGCTCAGCACAAGTTACGCCCTCCACATTCGCGAGATGTTAAAGTCGTTCATGAATTTCAACGCGAAAAAAGCGCAATAGCTGCTAATGTGAAAACTACATTCCTCCAACATATAAAGGGTTGCACTTTTTCTCTGTTAAGGGTTAAATTTTAAAACGAAAAGCTAACAAATTTGCTTTGTTTCTTAAGAGGTAATCAACTATGCATCGATTCTATTAGATATGTACTGCGAATTTTGTAATCTACTCTAGAGATGGTTACTCCCGCGTTGTATCCAATGAATGTAGAAGGAAATGAAGGCTAAGATATTTTTTGAAAATCGTCGTATAACGCACAGAATAACTGATTTGTAGAATACAGTACGAGGTAGAAGTTTTAAGAAGTAAATTAGTAGATATAAGTCTAAACCTCTGCATTGTCGTAGCAACGTAACGTAGAAAGCACGCGTAGTAATATGAAAACTTAGCCAACGTCGTCTAATTCTTTGGAATATTGTAATTATAATAAATCTGTATACCTTACAGTATAAACTAAAAACTAAAACTTTCTACAAGAAAACTATAGACGAAAAATGAAAATTATCAGACAGCGTAAGTAAATATAATAAATGTAATTTTCATTTCTATTGTTTTTAACTATCTCACTGACCTTACTACTATTATAAATGCGAAAGTTTAGATGGATGGATGGATGTTTATTAGAGTTTGTAGCCTAAACGGCTGAATAGATTTTGATGAAATTTGGTACAGATGTAGATGATAGTCTGGAAGAACACATGGGCTACTCGCTTTTATTTTTTTAATTCCACGCGGATGGATTCGCGGGCGAAAACTAGTTTTATATAAGACCAACTGCATCCCGCGCTTGTCTGCTCAATACCATCTGTTAACGCGTGACGTCATTGTTCTATCGGCAAAGTTAATCAGTTCAATCATCGATCTGTTATTATAAATCTCACCAAAGCTCTCAACATCAGCCGCGGTTACAAAAGTCTTCTTCTTAAGTTCACTGATCGATGACTCGAACTTGTTCTGTAACTTGGTGATACCATCATCTTGATACATGATCCCGACTGCACGAACCGCACCCGATACCGTCGCCGACCGCACTGCGCTGCCACTCACTTCCTCCAGCGATTTTGTTCATTAGCATTGCCGCATTTCAATGAGTCCACCTATGAACTCGATAACAATCGTTCGGCTTCAATACTCCGACACGTGTATTCCTCAAGATCCAACGACGAATTGATAACAGGAACTGATTGCAGTGTTATTCAAATTTTTATTTCTCGAATTTTCGTGCGACTCCCTGAATAGATTTCAATAGAACTTTTGTTGTATTCAGAATTTGTAGATAAATATCTTTAACTTTGTAAATTGTAAAATAAATATAAAAATGTAAATTAAAAATTGTAAATATAAAAAAATGGTACCCGACGTTACAGTCAAAGTGACATTGTTTAGATGTCAAATGACTGGTATTGTCAGAAAATATATAAAACCTACATGGATCTACGATAGGGACAAAATCGTATAAAAGGAGAGCGCTAATGAACCATGATAATTCAGTTTTGCTAAGTCCACTTGGTCAATGAACTTGATGGTCTACTAGCTTCCACCCGCGACTTTGTTTGCGGGGAATTAAAGAAATAAAAGCAAGTAGCCTATGTTCTTCCAGAATATGGTCTACATTTATGCCAAATTCATCCATCGTTCAGCCATTAAGGCTACAAACTCTAACATCTATTTAAACTTTCGTATTTATCTTAGCAAGATAATTAGCAAAATGGCGATATTATTTTGTTGTTTTTGTTTTTCACCAGAATATTTCCAAGACTATAGAAGCTACGGCTGGTCTTCTAGAACTTCTAAGACGTGTGGACTCTATTGTCGAAACATCCGGAGTCTTATCAGTTGTATTTGTGAACATGAAAAATCCATTGATGGGAGTGCATTGTATAGTTTCAAATTCTAATATTTTCCTAGAGATTATATAATCTTATCAGTAAAAGATAACAATGCAAAGGGAAATGCAATTAAATCATAACCATACTCAATATCTACTTAGATGTTATTCAATGCTATTCATAATACAGTCTTATGAGGGGTCTTGTGAAAATGGTTTCAATGGTAAATAGGTATTTAATTATCAAAACCACAGATTGGCCCAGTTGAGTTATTTCAATACATACAAAATACAAATCTTTCCTATTTATTATATTAGTAGGTATAGATAAGTAATTGGTACATATCGGTTTACATGTTTTCTTCTTTTTGTTATAGGCTTTTTGACTATTTTGATATATACTGTATTCTTAAAAAGACATTTAATCTTTTTTTTTATGTCATAAGATGGCAAACGAGCAAGCGGCCACCTGAATCCGCCAAAATGGCAAAGCGACCGCTACCCCTAGACATCCGCAATAGCGGATGCATTGCCTACACTTAATTGAACACATAAAGAGGATATTTCCCCATCCTATGCGTCTCCTCCACCGTCAAATCCATGTTCCCTTCCCATCCTTTTCTTACAAGTAAAAGGGAGGAAAGAGAAAGGGACTAAAATTAGGCCTTCGGCACCACACTCATCAGACGAAACGCGGAATTGCTCCCACTTCACGCCTGTCTTCTGTGTGGTCGTGGTATTTCACCGGGCGAGCCGACCCATTCGTGCGAAGATGTTAAAGTGGGCTCTGTGACAAATATAACTAATCTATTCATCAATACTATGTCTTTTTTTAAAACAATAATAATGTTACGAAAATATTAGGAAACGGAAGGAGTAGTGGGGGGTAGTGTCGAGCGCTCAGTTGTAGTCTCGGCGCTCAGTCGCAAACAAGCTCAGTGTTTTTCTAGTCGTCACCACGGAACGTTCGATATCTTTGCGTTGTCGCATTGGAGTTCAGTTTGTGTATTATAAAGCAATTTACAAGCATTGTTAATATGGCCGTCCGTCTATATTTTAAAGGAAGTCATTTGTGTCGAAATATCAAATATAGGTAACTAGAAGATGTAAAAAATTGCTGTAAAATCAGAAAGTAATTAGAGTTTCTTATTGAAGGCACCAACAACTTTTTTACAATAAATGCAAGTTTTTTTGTTGAATATGTTGCTTAATTTCAATCGACTGTCTGGATTGTGTCTGAATAATACAATAAAGTTATATTAAACGCTATTTAAAAATACAGATAAGAAAAATAAAGTCCGCAACACAACTTCATTTTCAACTGAACAATTTAGGTTTAGAAAACTTTTTAATCATACTACACTATACTATACAAATATTTATAAATGCGAAAGTTTGGATGGATGGATGTTTGTTAGAGTTTGTAGCCTAAACGGCTGAAGGCATTTCGATGAAATTTGGTATAGATGTAGAGGATAGTCTGGAAGAACATATACTAACTTTTTTGTTTTTTTTAATTCCACGCGGACGGAGTCGCGGGCGAAAGCTAGTTAAATAATAAAAGCGTTAACTAATTTTTCAAAACAGAAACAAATGATAACTTAGTCTCATTTTTATTAGAATATCTATTGCGATTGTTTTAAACTCAAAATGTCGTTACACTTATATTTTTTTTAACAAAAACATAGTTCTTAAAATATTTTTTTTTCTTAACCAAGTAAGATTGAAGTAAAACCATTAATTATTTTTTCGACATCAAACATTTATATTTACCGTTTACAAACTCATTACACGTTATCTCAAAAAACTATAAAATTCGTCGATTTGCAACGCATTAGAAATGAAATGCGGTATTTGCGACTCGAACATGCTTTGTTATTTTCTGATTTTCTTTTGTGAGTATTACTTTATGTATGAAATTAATTAGTTTTAAACGAGATAATTTTCATAATTAATTGTCTAGATCTTCAAAAAGGATTACAGAGAGAAATAAATAAAGTTTAGATTTTTATGCATTTGTATGCCGTAGTTATTATTGCATTTAGTATAAATTTTAAATGATTACTTTGAACAGTTTTGACAGGCGCTACACAAGAATACACTTTAAAAATCCAAGGCAACTTTGAAATGGGCGAAGAAATGACGACATTAGTTAGGTCTATTTATAATCAGCTCTTCCAGAAGAAACCTAACGAGAACCAGGATCAGACGGGAGGTCTGAGCCTGAACTTGGGGGATATCCATGCAAAAATGTTTACCCTGGATCAAGCCAAGGCCGAGGACGCGCCAAAAAAAATTCTCAATGAACTAGCCACAGATAACAAAATCTATGCAATACACGAAAGTCAACACGCCCATGGCGATGAAGTCTATAACAACATACATTCTTTGTAGACTTATTGCCTCAAATATATTATTTTATTTGTCGGGCCAATATACGTAAAATTTTTTTTCATATAATCAATGAATCAATGTTTTGGATTTAGTAAAATTAAAATCACACAAATGTTGTTTTAAAATTAGTTTTAATGTTTCGCATGGAAGATATATAACCTAACATTTTACTACAAAAGTTTAAATTATTTTTTGTATCTGTGTGAAAAATTCTGTACAATAGACAATTTTTGGGAAAACTAATTTATTATTTGAACATTTTCATTATCTTTTTGCAGTACCATGACTTTGTCAGCATGATATTAGTAGTCTGTATTATTTTGCGTTTTATGGTTAAGTTGCGTCATGCTTCTTATACGTGTAGGGAGATCGGATCCGGGCTTTTGTACTATTTACTAGATCAGACGCACAGAAAGAATTTTTCCCATCCTTTGTCCGTCTTTCATCAAATTTACTTCCCCTGCTTTTCTTATAAAATGGTAGGATTTGAAAACCTGTGTGCCTTACACAATACACGTAAATGAAAGCAATGGTTTCTTTAATTGTTAACGCTTTATTTTTTACATTATACAAATGCCAGTGTGGTTACAATTTTCTGAATATTTAACTGCGACTCGAACTGTTAATCAATGCGTGAACTTTTGTAACATACATACAGCGTGTCACATTATTTTAACGTAAAATATAAAACACAACTTATAATTTCTGTTATAGGTTTTTAATGGAGCTGAATTAGTAACATTATTTTAATAATTACGTCATTAGTAAAGAAACTTTTGACCTAATTGTTGTTTTCCGCTTTTGAAGTGTTTCCGATTATATTAGGAAAACATTAGAGTTTAATATAAATACTCCGTAACACAGTTTGCATTTTTAAACATTTTTAATTAGAAATATGTGTCTAACTCAATGACAGTCGTCATAACCTAAAAAGAATTCAACAGGGCAACACCAATGACACTTTTTTGTTTTAATGTCATATGTCATAAATGTTAATTAAAATGCAAAAGAACAGTTAATTTTAATCAATTATCATACTTATCAGAAAAATATCAGTGGTACTAAAACGTACTGATTTAAATAAAATTATTTTCTCATTTATAACATAAATATTTTTAATTCAAAGGTCATTGACTTTGAGGTTATTTTATCTTGACTTTTATAAAGGTTAACGTAACTTTTTCTATATTATTTTTATTCAATGGGACATCTATATAGATGGGTAATTTTTATTATTACCTTAATAATATTGCTCAAATCAACAAAATACTAATCTATATAAAACACACGATTGCGATGATATTCAGTGATGTAACTATCGAAAAAAAACAAAGGAAAAATAAAATAAAAACAAATAATGTTTATTAAAAACGATTTTAAATAACATAACATCGAATATTTACAACAACAAATATATATATTTTTATTGCTACAATCGATACATATCGATAAACAAACGGAATGACAGATTATAATAGCTTAGGATAGAAAAAGCAAAAAGCGCATTACATTTTAAAGGGAGAATGTTATTTTAATTCAATTTTTAATCTACAATTCAGATTCAGTAACTGTCAAAGATTATAAACTATCCATAAACAAACTTAACTTTTTTTTTAATTCACAAAGATTCTACTCTTTTAAATGCTTGATATTTACGATGATGAAATAGTTAAGCAACAAAAACTTTGTTTTGAACAGATATTTAAAAACAAAAAAAACATATGAAAAATGTCTTTTAACTGTATTATGTACATATACGCTACAAACAGCTGTATGTACTAACTCTTCTAAATTATGAGTTTCCACTGATTACATTTTAAAACTTCTAATCCAATAAATACTTATATTTTAATCCACAAGTATCGCAAAGATATAAAATATGCTAATTTTCTATGTTTTAATTGCTTAGTGTACTTAGCGAGTCATTATGAAGTGCATTTCGTACAAGATTAATTATTTTAGGAAAAAAAAACTCCCAACCACTTAAAAACTATTTTTTTATCACCTAAATATTGAATACTAAATCGATTTAACAAGAACGGCCACAAATAATAAAGAAAAAAAGGGTTCGATACTTTAAAAAAAATTCGTTGTCTATGGTTCCAAAATGGCCGCTCCTGTTTTAAAATCGCGCCTAATAGGTAATGAGTAGGCATATGTAATTTCTAGATATTTTATGAATTCCATCGTCTTTATCCAATCCTTTGATTTTGAGCAGTCGCATGAAAAAACCCGATCCACAATTCCTTTTAAATATTAACCTAAAAAAATGGCGCCAAAATAATGACATTTGTTTTTTTTATATGATGCTATCTGAAGGAAGTAAATCAAACATACATTTAACATTTTGTTTAACAGAAATTTAAATAATCCGTATGCGAACGAATAGGAAAAATATTAAATACAAAATGAGATTATTTCTCCCTTTTGTCGTATAACGGTATTTACGATAATATTGCACTAAAATAATCTGCGTTCTTTATTTAAGTCTAAAAAAAATGTAGAGGATTGCGAAAAATACTATTATAATGATATTTTTAGATAAACGTCGCATACTGGAGTGTTGGAAGTTTCAAAACACGGAAATAAGCTACTAAACAACACAAATGCGTAAACACTTACTACCACTTAAACATGTGTACGCGTCTCTAAGAATGGGTATACGCGTCATTAAAAACACATACACGCGTGTCCAAGAACGCGTATACGCCTCACTAGTGACACGTATACTTGTTACTAGGCACGCATAAAAGTGTCTAACGTCACTAGAGACACATAGACAAGTCCTTAGAAACACGTATACGTATGCGCCACTCTAATCACTCGTCAAGTGTCTAACGGCATGTAGACGCATCATTAGAGACAGGTACACGTATACGCATAACTAAGAACACGAGTACGCGTCACTAAAAACACTTTTAAGCATCACTAGAGACACGTGTACGCGTCACTAGAGACACGCATACTAGTCACAAGAGATATTTTATACGTTACTACAGACACGTGTACACGTCACTAGAGACACTTTTACGCGTTAAAAGAGACACGCATACATGACACTAGACACTTATACGCGTTACTGGAGAAACGTGTACGTGTCACTAGAGACACGCATACAAGTCACAAGAAACACGCATACACGTCACTAGAGACACTTACATGTCACTAGAGACACTTACGCGTCACTAGACACGTGTACGCGTGTGTAGACACGTGCACACGAGTGCGCGTGTTGTGTGCTGGCGGTGTGTTCAGCGCAGGTCGGGGTTATCGTTGATCTGTTTCTTGATGCGCACGAGCATGCTGGTGTACCACTGGTCGAGGCGGGATATGCTGTCGTACGTCTTCACAGCCTCAGTGAACGCGTCCACGTTCTGATCTTCCAAGTGTTCGATTAGCTCCTGAAATTATTAATTAAGTTTTTTCTTTCTTTAGATTGAAGTGTTACATCTGAGTGTCTAAGTACTTGGATTTCTTTCTTTTTTGTGGATAACTAATGTTTTTTTTTATTTTAGACATCATTGAATACTGAATAAACACCTTTTATTCTTAATAATCAATAATCAACGTTTCCGTATGTCTGCTGTATTAAAATTTGAATTTACTTAAACGCCTGAATACTGAAATGAATCTTAAACAGTTCGTGTCGTAAGCTTCACTTATAATCTGACAAATCTAATTTTTATTGGAAATTAGTAAATAAGCGTGGGTTTGTTATTGAAAACGCTGTAACATATTAAAATATCGTTTCAGTATTCTGCTGTTAAAGTAGCAGTTAGATTACTGTTCTAAAATTTGATAAAATAGTATTAAAAATGATATGGTCCTTTGAGTCGGATACGAAGATTTATACCTTGACGAGCTTGCACTCGCGCGTGTCAGCGAAGGCTGGGTAGAGCGAGCAGTACTTGTCCAGCGCGTGCTGCGCGTTCAGCAAGTCCACGCAGAGGTGGCACAGCGCCGCGCGGAACATGTACTCCTTCGCGCTGTACTTCAGCAAGCTGTTGTCCAGCGAAGACTTCGCTATCTGGTGGAAAACATGTTTAAATTTAAAATTCAGTTAACCAAAACATAGTAAAAGATGAATAGAGCCAAATTTAATGGTTTGGCATTCCTTTTATATAAGTGACAAGACAAATGATTTGGACATCCGCAATTTAAGAAGAATCAAAAACGCTTTCAAAATCAGTCTAGTCGTTTTCTTTGCCCTCTATCACCTTGTGCTTCCATAACAGTTATTTTACCACAGTTTTTCCCTTTATTGTGAGTAAAGGCCATGCTCTTTGCTCTTTTGAAGACACAAAGGTTATGTTTGGTTTCCACTGACTAAAACCACACTGTTGCCAACTTAAATAATACTTGGAATTTTCAAATCGTTGAAGTAATACGACGGATGTCAAAAATAGCAACATATCGGGAGAGAAATACTACATACTTTTGTAAAGATACTATATTAATACTGTTTGTGTATAATTAATTGCAGTTATATTTAAAGTAGAAGTTTCTGATAGGCTGAAACAATGCGTCTTTCGGTTCTCTAGCACGAGAAATCAAAAATAACTGAAAAGTGGTGTCAACAAAATGTCCCTACCCTACCTGTTCGTATATCTGTATAGCCTTGTCGTAGTGCTCCAGCTGGGCCGCGTACTGAGCCAGCTTCAGCATGCACTTGTTGGCGGAAGAGGTGGACTCCTCGCCGCGGAAGTAGTCCGCCGCCTGCTCGTAGTGCTGCATGGCACGGGACACGTCCACGCACTCCGTCTCATACAGCTCCGCGATATTCTAAACCATTACATATGTATTACTGTAAAAATTATTATTATGTCTGTCATGTTGTATGGATCTGAAAGTTGGGCAGTAAAAGGGACGGATGAAAGGAGAATACATGTGGCGGAAATGCGAATGTTAAGTTAGATGTGTGGGGTAACACGATTGGATAAGATACGAAATGAGTATATTAGAGGAAGTTTGAGAGTAGCCCCAGTGGTTGAGAAAATAAAGAGTAAAAGGTTAGAGTGGTATGGGCATGTTATTAGAAGGGATGAATGGCATGTAACAAGATGGACATTAGTTATGAATGTGGAGAACAATAAGTCAGGGGTGACACGTCACTATATTTTGGGCACCTAGATAGAATAAAAACTAGAAAAACTATGAAGTAGGTGGACCATGGAAATAACGTAATGATCATAGTAATAATCGCACTAAATTATTTGATGGCACATCTAAGACAGAATTTAAAATTTCTTTAAAAAATGCCACTTTGATGCAATAAGGTTCGCCACCCCTGAACTAAGTACTGGCACTCTCAGCCTACTCAAGTTAGTTGAATTTCATCATTGATGTGCAGAAATCACGATGTTTTCCATCACATATGTACAGTCGTGGCAATACACGGTGTTCCACTTTTAAGTAAAGTTGCCTTGTTAATTGCGATGAGACAAAGTTTTCTACAAATAACTAATAAGCAGTGAATGGTGCAATCGAAAGGAAAATAGAGTAAAGAAACTACACTACTAGATACATTTAAAAACTGTTGTATTAGTTTTTTGTTCCGCCTCTCGTTTCAAAATCAGAAAATCACCGTAGTATAGGCGGGATTCGAACCCAAAACCTGTAGGTTACAAGTAACAACCTCTGAACCACCGAACTATGGGCAATTTATTCCTCGGACAGATTCGTCTAATGTTTTTAATGTCTTTTTGTACTTTGAGATAATACATCATACTAATATTATAAATGCGAAAGTTTAGATGGATGGATGTTTGTTAGTTTGTAGCCTAAACGACTGGATATTCTTTAACACATAGGCTACTCACTTTTGTTTTTTTAATTCGACGCAAACGGAGTCGCGGGCGAAAGCTATTACGATATAACGTAAAATTGTTCATATCATCATCATCATCTCCTTATCCTACTCCCGTAGGGGCGCAACAGGTTTTTGTCCTCCACATAACTCTATCATACGTCATCTCAGTCATCACTACCTTTTTGATCAGGTCACCTTTTACACAATCCATCCATCTCTTTCTAGGTCTACCTCTACCGATGTACCCTTCCACACTCATAACTAACGTCCTCCTTGTAACATACGATTCATCCCTCCTCATAACATGCCCATACCATGCTAACCTTTTACTCCTTACCTTCTCTACTACGGGGGCTACTCTCAAACTTCCTCTAATATACTCATTTCATATCTTATCCTATCGTGTTACCCCACACATCCATCTTAACATTCGCATTTCTGTCACATGTAGTCTCCTTTCATCTGTTCATCGATGTTTTTGGCTACATATGTCAACTTACCTGATGGTGCTTAGCTGCAACCGTGAACCGTCCCATATCGGTGTATATCTCAATCGCCTTCAGCAAACAGGACACTGCCTCTGTAATTGACGTGTGATTTTTTAAAACATTGCAGGTTTCCGTTTCAATGCTTCTTAAAAGTAAATAATATACGTGAATTTTTACCGCATTGCGTATAAAATGCATCAATGGCGATCGTTATAAATCATTTCTTGAGACTTCGCCCGCGTGAAAAATATAAGCCTATGTTACTCACAGATAAATTACCTTTCTAACAATGAAAGAATTGTTAAAATAGGCCCAGTAGTTTTTGAGTTATTTCAATACATACAAAAATACAAAAATGTAAATCTCTTCTCTTTATAATATAGTATAGACTAGCTATTGCTCGCGACTTCGACCGCGTGAAATAAAAAATAATAACAAATATAGCCTGTTATTCATTGATAACGTAAGTTTTTAATGGTGAAAGAATTTTTGAAATCGGCCTAGTAGTTTTTTAGTTATTTCAATACATACAAAAATCCAAACATACAAATCTTTCCTCTATAATATTAGTATAGTTATAGATAAAAAAATTATATTTCATTATCTTAAGTTTATTACCAGAGCTATAACCAATTAAAAAGGAGAGGAATCAAGTGTTAAAACCAATTTCCACTTGCAGCTAGCCTTCTTGGTATGGAATAATTGTTTTATGAATCATTCTTGAAAATCTAGTAAGTGGTGACTGACGCAAATGGCCTTGAATCTATCATTTTGTTTGAGTTCTGTATGATGTAATACATTTAATCAAAACAAGTAGTTACGCGTTGATAAGATAACAGATAATATTAATCTTAAAGAAATCGATAAATATTGTATACTAGCTTTCGCCCACGATACCATCCGCGTGGAATTAATAAAAAACAAAAGCAAGTACTCTGTGTTCATCCAGAATATCCTCTACGTCTATACGAAATTTCATAGAAATCTGTCCAGCCATTTAGGCTACAAACTCTAACAAATATCCATCCATCCATGCATCCATCTAAACTTTCGCATTTATAATCATACTAATATTATAAATTTGAAAGTTTGGATGGATGGATGGATGGATGTTTGTTAGAGTTTGTAGCCTAAACGGCTGAATGGATCTGGATGAAATTTAGGATAGATGTAGAGGATAGTCTGGAAGAACACATAGGCTACTTTCTTTTGTTTTTTTTAATACCACGCGAACGGAGTCACAGGTGGAAGCTAGTATTAACATGAAGTATGATTGTATATGTATATTGCTATTTACTTTACTATCGATATAACAGTTTTACTCTAATAAATAGATAAATGGCCTAGTTTACTCATTAAAAAGAGCTTTCTATGCCAGTGGAATGATTATTTAAATCAGTCAAATATGACTCATATTTGTATTTGATCTTATATTTTAAAACATAATAAATTAAGTTAAAAAAAATAAAGTCAAGGTCGGAGTTATGTCGGGCGTGGTTGGGCGAACGCCCTGGGCACTACACACTGCAATCAGTTTCAAATAACCCTATTTACACCCCCCAGAAGAAGTAAAGGGGAGCTGTAGGAATCGTGCTTGCGAAGCTAGTAGCGTTAAAACCGTTACAAAATGTAACTTAAAAGACATTATATAAATGAATTTTCAGTTTGGCTTTATGCCAGATAGTCTTGTATTTGAGTTCAACTAACTTTGTAGACATAAGGCATTGTTGGACAGTCTAACTGCTCTATGTAACACATCTTTATGGCACACAATAAATTCTTAATTACTTTTAAGGTTATTGCCCTATCTGAGTTTACTGTGTGCATCAACCAGCCCAAACTTGGTCACACAGACTTGAACCATTGTGGTTTAAAACTAAATTAGTAACTCAAAGTGATCTATACTAGTCTATACTGGTATTATAAAGAGGAAAGGTTTATATTTTTGTATGAATTGAAATTCCTTAAAAAATTGTGGGTCAATTTTAAAAATTCTTACACCAATAAATATCTATGTTATCACTGAGTAACAGGCTATTTTAAAAAAAATCTGCACACATAAAGACGAGAGCAACAGCTAGTTACATTATAAAGTTAGTACCATAAATAATATTCACAACCAATAGAACAATTTTTAAGGATGTTTATAGACATATTTATATTTGTGAATTTGAATATTTACTTACTATTATTATAAATGTGAATGAAAGTTTACATAGATGGATGTTTGTTAGAGTTTGTAGCCTAAACTGCTGAACAGATCTTAATTAAATTTCGCATAGATTTGGAGGATGGAAGAATACATAGGCTACTTATTTGCGTTTCTTTTAATTCAACACATAAAGAGTCTCGGGCGAAAGCTAGTGATATAATCAATTTGAAACAAACTGTGAACATAGAGAATAAGACATACCATTAGGATCACACTTCTTGTAGCAGTTGGAGGC